GTCGGGATTCTGTCGGGCCTCGGCCGTGCCGGCGTCTCGCGCTGGGGAGATAACGAGCCTCCTGGGCTTACGCCGGGCGCCTGGCGGCAGGTGCTGCAGCCTTACAGGCCACAGGATCACGGAGCTGGGAAAAGACCTGTAAGACCATCCAGTCCAACCACCAACCCAACACCACCACACCCACTGGACCATGTCCTCAAGCGCCATGTCTACACGTTCCTTGAACACGTCCAGGGATGTGGCTCCGCTCCTGGGCCGCCTGTTCCCGTGCCTGACCACTCCTCCAATTAAGAAGTTTTTCCAAATATCCAGTCTAAACCTCCGCTGGCACAGCTTGAGGCCATTTCCTCTTGTCCTGTCACCAGTTACCCGGGAGAACAGACCAGCACCTGCACCCCTACAACCTCTTTTCAGGTAGCTGCAGAGAGTGATCAGGTCTCCCCTGAGCCTCTCCTTCTCCAGGCTGAACACCCCCAGCTCCCTCAGCCACTCCTCACAGGACTTGTGCTCCAAGCCTCAGTGTTCTCCAGGCTTCAGCCTCAGTGCTGCATTCCCCTGTGTGGGATCAGCCTTGCTGCCTACCAGCTGTCAGGGAGGGGAAAACATCCCAGAAAACCTTCTTCAGTAGCCAGGGCAGGAGTGCAGGAGGGGATACGGTTCTCTTGAATATCTCTTTGTATTTAGGGTTTGTTCTCTTGAAAATCTGTTTGCATTTAAAAATGAAGCACCGGGCTTTATCTCGGAGGTGTACCTTCAAACGGAAAAGTAACTGTGACGTGGGTAGCATATGGGATCTGTAAGGGAGGCTTATCAGGGCAAAATATGTGTGGCTTGGCAGAGATGCAGCGTGGGGATTGAAGAAAGAAACCTGTGAGTGTTTTAAGGCTACAAGGGATGAAAAAGGGGACTTTTTTTGATGTAGGGAAGGAATGCAGTTGAGGTTGACAAAATTAAATTTCTTGTCTCTTAATTACATGGGAGAAAATGAGAACAATGAGGTTTTGAAACGGCCTTCCATTGGACAGATTCCACGGCCCTGTAAGCCTAATTCTAGAAGATTTGTAAAACAATCTCTTAATAGCTTCTTCATCTGAAAATCTTTTCCTGAGCGATGTTTATTAACTCTAGTCCATCTGGATTTCCCATTCTGAAGTCAAAAATACTTATTACGTGGATTTCAGTTGCCTGTCTTCGTTTCAGTGTTCAGTGTCTTCACGCAGTGCGTGCATATGCATTTCAGACCACATATGTCAGATGTGTGTGGGCAGATGAGTGAGAACAGATTAATTGAGAAGATGAGAAAAGGAGCAAAGATTTTCCTCTGTGCTTCGTGCTCGTTTGGGCTGTTGCCAGTTTTACAGCATCGTGGTCATGACAGAGATGTAAAACACGACTATAGCAGAGAAGGTGAAAACAGGAATCTGAACCTCTGCTTGCTTTTTGTCTCATCCTGCAGGATGAAGAAACCCGTAAAGATTATGACTACATGTTGGATCACCCTGAAGAGTATTACAGACACTATTATCACTACTACAGCAGGAGATTGGCACCGAAAGTGGATGTCAGAATAGTGATTCTGGTCACAGTGTGTGCCATCTCTGTATTTCAGGTAAATTACCATGTTTACGTGACACTGTTCCGTGAGTATCTGAACGGGAAGAGAAGTATCCGTTGCTCTCGTAGCCTGCCGGGTATTAAACCATCCCAGTGAGGAGGCTCATTCCAGGCTGTTGCGGCAAGCTGCTCCATGGTGTCTGTAACAAATCTGGAGTCAGGACATGCTGAGCAGATTTTTGACTGCCCTAGGCACCTTGGACAAAGGTAGAGATTAGTTTCTTTTAATGGCAGGATATTGCATAGCGAGGAGCACGGCTCTTCTAAGGGAGTAACTTAATTCTACACGTCAGGCTGAGAACAGCCCGTTCCTGAGGGCTGACTGTGCTCCAAGTGAGAGTTGGTTTGTTAAGCTGCGTAAGTAATTAAAAAAAAAAAAAAAAAAGTCTAGTTGCAACCCGAAGTCAAGGCTCAATTCAGACAATAGGACTGAATAGTGGGAGTTCACTAATGTGTGAATCTTATGCTGCAGTCGTGTTTTAAACACCGCAGTGAAGTTGGGAGGGAAGTGAATCCGACTCGGTGAAGTTTGCTCTGAAGGTGGGAGTCCCAGGGTCAAGGAAACCACCTGTGTTTTAGATGAGAAAACCCATGCTGTTGCTGACCAGTACTTAGGAGGAAGAAGGTGCATAACTCTCTTTCTCTAGCAGGTGTTGGGTTACTGGTCCAAATTGTCATTAGGAGTACCCAAAAAGTTTAGGAGGTGAAGATAATGCCTTGTTCTGTGGCGCTGGTAGCTCACTTTGTAGCCGAGTATTGCAAGTGAAACCAGGAATACGCTGATGAGAACTTGAGAGCTTGGAACCATAAATTCCAGTGGCATGTGCAGCCAAATGCTTAATCTGTCTTCAGACTCACTTCCAATGGCAGAGCTACTTCTGACCTCTAACTTCTCGTGTTGTGTGTAAGCGGAGACACTCGCTTTCCTGCAGTCCAGCCACCTGCCCACCGGTTGCAAATTCCGTGTAAATGTCTCTGTAAACCGATTTGCCTCTCTCTTGCTTTCTGCTGCTTCTTGGCCTTTCTTAACGTTGTCTAATGTGCACGTCTGCCCTTTGTCTTGGGGAATGGTGTCTTGGGGAATGGCTTCTTTTTTAAAAGAAGTTGCCCCAGCAAGATATGTTCACCCTAGGCACTATATTTCTGGTTTGTTCTTTGGTTTTTTTTTTTTCCCCCTACTGAAATTCAGAGTGTAGCTGGAGATTAGAGAGGGATGTTGAATCTCGTAAAGTCGATCCTGTCAGACTAACGAGATTTTCACGTACTTAATCTGTGTTTAATGAGCTGTTCTAAGTGGGTAACAATTTTATAATTAAATGTTCATATACCAGCTACTTTATTTACAAACCCAGCGGTTCTTCTGAGAACAGCCGGCGCAGCCCGGCACTGACCGTCGGGAGGTTACCATCTTCTTGTGGACAAAACCAGTCCGAACAGTGTCTGCTTGTCCTTCCTGTATCTTGCTGTGAGATACACATCAACAGAGCTGTTAGCCAGGTGCCTTACTAAGTTTGGAGGAATAAATGATCGCTTCTGAACACTGCAGAAGTGGGACTGTTACCTTTGTTTTTTACCCTTGCTGTAATATAATTGTGGTTAAAGGTCTATGACAGCATTTTTTTTTTTTCCTGGCAAACCTCCAAATAGGAACGTGTCCCTACAAAACCACATTTTTTTACTTCTCCTGTTCTTCAATTACAGTTCTTCAGCTGGTGGAGTAGTTACAATGAAGCCATCAACTACCTAGCTACGGTGCCAAAATACCGTATACAAGCTACTGAGATTGCCAGGCAACAAGGTTTACTCAACAAGACTAAAGAAAAGGGCAAGAACAGGCGGTCTAAAGAAGAAATTCGTGAGGAAGAGGAAGAAATCATCAAAGACATTATTAAAAATAAAATAGATATAAAAGGCGGTTATCAGAAGCCCAAGATATACGATATCCTTCTATTTCAGATTCTTCTCGCTCCTTTTTACTTGAGCAAATACATAGTGTGGTACTGTTGGTGGATTTACTGTTTCACTATTAAAGGGCAGGAGTACGGTGTGGAAGAGAAGCTGTATATCATACGAAGGTACATGAAAATGTCTCAGTCTCAGTTTGACAGCCTGGAAGATCATCAGAAAGAGACCTTTCTCAAACGGCAGCTGTGGATACGAGAAAACTATGAGGTGGGTGGCTCTGGTGGAAGAGCTCAGGTTGGTTGTCCAGCACCCCCAGAGTAAGAACAGCTGTTTTGTGAAGGTGCTTTGGACAGAACTGTGTGCAGCAGCGCTTCATTTTTAGCTGTTGCTTTCTAAACTGAGAGCTGTTAGATAACCATTCGGTGAGTCAGGGCCTGTTCTTGCTCTGCTCTGTACTTACTCCGGTCAAGGCAGCATGTGAGATACCACTGGGGGCAACGGCCGCTCTTGCCCTGGGTAGCCAGTTACTGAATAGTCAATATGGTGCCGTTTTGGTTAAGCTTTCTGTGAGAACATTGAAAGAACATTAGCCACAGCATGGAATTTGCAGTCCAGAATGACTTGGGATGCCGGGGGGGTGGCAGATTGACAAAACACTTTCATTGTTCCACGGAAGCCCATCTGTGGGCCATCTGGGTGGGAGGTTTCTGGAAGAGAAGCTGAGAATATAAGTTTGGCCTGCTTAAGGGGAAGAGGGGATGTTGCTGCTGCTCCACCTACGTTGGGGAAAAAGTGAGGCGGTGGCAGAATGGCCTTTGCTGCTGACAGGGCACCAAAGGTAAGAGGTTGCTTCTTGGAACGTTGGCGGAGCGGATTAATGTTGGAACCTGGAGAGGAGAATAGTAAGAGTGATGCTTACGGAGGGAAAGGTTTAGCCGACGGGTACACACGTGTGTTGAATTATGACGAGTTTGCTAGAAAACAATCCAGAAGTCCAAGGATCCAGTAAGGTTACTAGTCAAAGCAGATGTTATAGGGAAGAAGTAGTATGGGTGGGTTATCTTCTTGTAAATTAAAAAAATGGCATGGTTTGGGATCCAGGCTGTTTCTAACTAGTGATGTTTTGGTCACTGTATTGGTTGGAGGTGAAGTCTGTTTAGCCCAGACTCCTCTCCTGTGGTGTCCAGCGGTTGGTTTTTGGTGAAAAATACATGAAATTCACACCTATACAGCAATATTTATCCAGTAAAATTTGCAGCTTTGGGATCTCCTGAAAAGGAAGGGGTGTCTTTGTGGGTAATTGCTTTAATGAGTTTAATGAACTTACCTACTCGCTTTGCTCCCTGAATGCATTAAAACTTTCAGTGTCTGCTGAGCCATCTGGTCATGGGTTCAGCAATACGTGTAGACGATGGAGGGGTTTTTTAAGCTTCCTGGGCACCTGCTGGTTCTTGTCTTACTGTAAACGGAGCATAATCGTGCCTTGTTTTCCCCTCCCGTGCTGCCTGTGCTCCTCTCTATCTCACCCGAAAGCTAGTCATGTCTTTCCTAGGCTGAAAAACACGCTTAGGTGTTTCTCCCCAAAAGCTTCTCTGCTTTTGATCACTGGAGATGCTTATCTGCATATTGGTCAGTTTTCCAATGGCCTCCTGGGATGGGGAAGGCCAAGAATTCAGTACACAGGTACATCTTGGAGCTCCGCAGCATTTTTTTTTTCCCCTCTGTTACTTTCCTAATAGTTCTTAGAACCGGTATGATCACTGCCCATCGAGCTGGTGTATTTATAAAGCCACCTGTAACACTTTTTAAAACCCTGCTCGTGCGCAGCGGAACCTTAAATTGAAGTCCTTCCTGGGAAGAAGTCGGATGGCACTGAGGTGGCGTAAACCTGCATGGTGTTGAGGTTTACAGGGGTTGTGACCTACGTAAGCTGCCTTCCGGAGTAAGAATACAGATGCTGTTGCCTTTGTTTTAGATACTTGACGTGGCTGTCGACGGCAGATGTCATGGCAATGACGCAGTTTCTTGGCAGAATGTAACTGCCGTATCACTTGGTAGCGACAGCACTTGATGCGGAGTTACTGACTTACCTGGGAAACTTCATTAGGAATAAAAGGTCCCACAGCAGTGTCCTGTGTAGACAGTGACTTTGAAACGGGAGAACAACTCAAGTGCGGTGCTGAACACCTGCACTGAACAGTGTGTTTGCTGAGAAGGGACTCAAAATTCAGCTTTCTGAGCATTAGCAGTTCTTTACAGTAAATTTTACTCGGTAGAATGCATGGGCATTTGGTTCCTCAGCAAAAAAAATCCCAGGGTCTGCAGCATCATCTTACAGGGAGGTGGTTCTGCCCTCGGCAGAAACACAGAGCGTCTCGGGTACAGGTACAGCCAGTGGGCTCCCTGGCTGAAGGCGGTGCTCCTACACCTTGTTGGTCAAGGTCTGCGTCCGTCTTGCCGTCCAGCCTTCGGTAAAAACAACAAGCTGGACACAGTTGAACTGGGAATGCTTATGTTCCCCTTGAGGGTCACCGCAGGGTTTCTTCAGCCTTGTTAAAAGCTTCTGTCTGCCCATCAGGTCTATAAGCGGGAACAGGAGGATGAGTTGAAGAAGAAGATGGCCATGGATCCCCGATGGAAGAGATACCGGCGTTGGATGAAGAATGAAGGGCCTGGAAGACTGACCTTCATTGATGATTGAAAGTTGCTGAACAGAAGGTGTGCTGATGTTGAAAGTGATTTGCAGAACTTTCCACTACGTGATTTAGAGTTTTGTCTGCTGTGGCTCAGCAGTGATCTAAAACTCAGGAATTCCTAAATCAGGCCGAAAAATAGTACAGGTTTACCATTTTTATAAATCAGACCTATCAAACAGGCTCAGCTCAATGTATATATGCCATTTACTTGGGGATCTCTGTGGAATGTGTTATTCCAGGCAGTGTATTTTCTCTGCGTATCTGGTATCCGTGATCGGTGGAACCGTACATAACCTTTGTCTTTCTGAAAATGTTTCTACATCAGTCCTTGGAAGTCCTGTTCCTTTTTTTTTAAACTGAAGGGTTCCTGCAAACGGACACTGGAAATGCTTGTGAAGTATTCTGAGGCAAGGGCCGTTTTCTGTTTTCCTCTCTCTTCCCTTCCCCTACTTTTCAGTAACTTCTAAGATGCCAAATTGTGGTGTTGTCTTTTTTTTCCTTGCCGACAACATGGGGATCATACTGGACTTCTGCTATTCCTGCTCCAGTTGGAAATGAATTTTATCTTTTGTCGGAATAAATGATGCATGATTGATCATCATTGTGATGCGAACAAGCCTTAATTCTTTGTTTTACAGAGTGATTAATGAAATAGTGTGCTTAGACCTTTTGAGTTTGGTTTTTCAATCTTGTATGTTGGATTGTACCTGCTTGTTCGGAACAAATATACCAGTGAATATTAGTCTACTAAATGTGACATTTCTTTCACCAAAGTATTGGTAAAAGGGAAGAAGACGACCCTTTTGTTAAAAAGGGCAATTTTGATGCCTTATGTAAATAAAAGTTTATATAATATACATACTGGATTTGTTTTAAATGCTAAATCTAAAGTATTTTTTGTTTTCTTCTGATCAGACCTCAGAGTACTCAGAATAAATAATGCACAAGAACCACTATGGTTTCCTCTGTAACCCAGCTGAGGTCAGATTTCCGATGATTTTCCTGTGAAAGGGATTTTGTTAACATGTTTCTATACAGGAATTTTACTAGGAAAGGGGTAAGCGAGGAGCCTGGCCAGATGGGGCTGCTTCTCGTTTATCATATCCGGAAAAGCAAGTTCCTCAGAAGTGTTTCTGCTGAGAACAGTGCTAGGTTAGCGGACTTCTGTGGACATCCTTGTCTCTAAACTGGAG